CCAGAGAATGGGCATGTCTACCTACCTTTTATACAACTTACTAGATTATCAGTGGATGATGATGAGTCTTCTGACTTGCAGGGTGGAGATTAGAAAAAGTAGACAGGTGAAAATTTTTTAGCTACTGTGAATACCAGTTGCCATGGTCTGGACATTTGTGGTACCCCTCCTTCCATGTGTTAAAATCGTATTCCCCAACATAGTGGTATTTGGAGGTGGGCCTTTGAAAGGTATTATTTAATGGGGCCTAAGCTCTCATGAATGGCTTTAGTCCTTATTAAAAAAGGACCCGGAGAGTGCCCTTCCCCTTGGTACCATGTGAGGACCCAGAGATGCCATCTATGAGTTGGGGTGCAGTTCCTGAATCAGTTACTGTCTTGTTCTTGGAATTCCTAGCCTTTAGAATAGTGAGAAATAAACTTCTGTTTATAAGCTACTCAGTTTATAGTGTTTTCATAAAGCAGCCCAAACAAATAAATCTTTCTCCTGGCTTTTATTTAATGCCGCAGATAACATTATACTTACTTAGGAAGTATTATGCTTATTGTGAATACATGATTTCTTTAGTAAATATAATCATGTTTACCATCAAATAAGATGGCTTCTTTCATTAGAGTTTGAAAAATATGAGTCACTATTCCCATAGTCTACCTATACTGGATAAATAGACTATCAAATTGCATTAATATTTTGAAAAAAATTATCATACAGTCAGTCATGTCTCTAGCTCTTTACACAGTTGTACAAAAATCCATTCCAAAATGAAAGGTGTTTCAACAGGTGTTATCATCAAATTTATCCTGCAGAAGATTTTTTTTGTTTTTGTTTTGTTTTGTTTTTAATGCCTCTGGAAATGTTTGTAGCTATAGGTATAAATACAGAGTAGGGGAGAAAGCAAGCATTATAATGAATAACGAAGAAAAGAATACATTTGCCTTAATTACCCAGGTCTTTCAGCATGTTCAGGGTGTATTTCTCACTTCAGTCACCCACATATAAAAGTAAAGACCCAGACTATGAGTCAGTGTTTTGCAGAATAACATATTCAGCTGAATTTTCAACTTCATCCATTTTAGGATGTGAAGCTACTCTCCTGCACAACCTTTGTTTAACTTACATACTTGGAAACCTGTACCATCTACATCAAAGAGCAGAGACCCTCCAGTGTAGGAACCATATCAGACACCATTCAACAGAGCTGTCAAGCTGACTAGCATGACTTTTGTAAGCCTATGTGGCACAAGGTGATGACGAAAGGTTTTAGAGAAGACAGAGGCTGTATTTGCTTGTTAGAATCAGAACTAATGCAGGGTATACTGAATGTGCCACATGAGGAAACACCACCTGTGTCGTGGGTTCTTTATTCCTTAGCCTGAACTGGTAATAAGTCCCAACAGCGATTCTATTAGAGGACTGATTGGGCAATTTCCCAGGTTGGCAAACACTGACATATGGTTTCTCCATTTTAATTGGAAGTTTGCTTTGTTCTTATTATTGACATGGCAATGAGATTCTTTCATACTGAAATAGTCCTAGAAGGTGAGATAGTTTGCCCAAATAAAGTCAAAGTGTCTGGTTCAGAGTCACCTCATTCTCCCCACTGACTCACAGTCATTGTATTAACTATTACTCTCTGAATAACTCCCTCATTACCCCATATTCACACCCAACTCTTGGTCTTTTGTTCTTGTTCACACTGTCTCCACCCTGAACATATATCTTCATCTTGTATTCTATTATTATTATTATTATTATTATTATTATTAGAGAAAGATTTTTACTACAGGGCACATACACTTGCCAGAGACACAGACAGAACATGAGAAATCACCACCCAGGGAGGATGGCTACAACGCAATCCCTTCTCCTCCATTCTCCTCCAGGGATCTTGAACACACAAAGCACATGTGCTTGGCATGAGTTTTAAGTCACTGAATCCTGGACGCAAACTGCCATTGACTATGTGAGAGTCTAGCAATACAAGTATTACACCATCTGCTGGCCCCATCTTACATTGCTTTTTGAAAATTTTAAAATTCTTTTAACTACAATGTGGTTCAGGATATACTACTCTAAAATATTACTCATTGGTATATTGAATAGGTTAAGCTATAGGAATTCGAGAAGCAGGAAGGTTACCCTCATATCGCCTTGACCCCTCTCCCCTGAAACTAGTTAAAAGACCCTCATTTGAGAAGTGCCCTCCATATGCTTAAAAAAAAAGGAAGCTTCTTGTCCCTGAAGACAGATAATCAGAAAGGGCTGTGTTAAGTTTCCCCCAGTTTTATTTTCCCCCAACTGTCCATTCTTCATCAAAGTTAGCAGAGATGCAAAAGTTTGTTTGGGTCTAAAGATCCTCATGTCACATAGAACTTATATTTGATAAATCCCCCCCCCTTTTTTTTTTGGTAAATCTGTCTTTTGTTATGGAGGCCTCAGCCATGAACCTAGGATGGGTAAGAACAAGAGATTTCTCCTTCTCTTCTAAGAAAAAGATATTTTTCCTTCTCTTCCTCTACAATTCTTTTAAGTACAAATCTCTTTACTTTTAATCTTTCTCAGTTAACATTATTGTTTATCTCTAGACTGGACATATGGTGGAAGTTGGGGTGTTCAACTATAGCCCTTTTTTTCCTCACTAAGAGTCTTAAGTAGAAGACTCTCAGTGAGGTAACCACATGCCAGTATGACTGATCAAAGCCACTGAAAAGTGTCAAGTGAGTATAAATTTTGTTCCTAGCTCTAACACTTATTCTATGTCCAAGTTTCTTGGCTTCTAAATGCCTCAGTTGTCTCATTTACGAAATAATAGTATTTACCTCATGCAGTTATTGTAAGCATACAGCTAGAGTAAATTCGATAATGCAAGGAAAATATAATCTCAGTGCCTGGCACATGGTAGGTGTTCAGTAAATATTTCTCGTAGTTGTATTCAGAACCATTTCTCTATTTGGCTGGGAGTACCTTGAAGTGAGACACTGTTTACAATTCCTTTCAATCCCTGGTTGTTTTTCGTCGATAGTAGATTTTGGTCATTTATTTTATGTGCCTAGTAAAACTCATGCTGAGTTTGTACTCTTTCTCGGTTTGGAAGTAGTAAAAGCAGAGAGTGAAAGCAGCTGTTGATGTACAGAAGTAAGGATCTGGTTCTGTTCATTGGTGGTGGGCCTGACAATAAGGAAATGAAGGGTGGGCAAGGGTCAGCCCGTGGGGAGCAGCTGTGTGATCAGAATGAAAAGTATCACTGCTCTATCCTCCTGGTGCCCTAATCTCCAGAAAGCATCACCTTACAGGAAAGAAATATGGCCAAAAAACTGGGATAAATACACTTCAAACTTACTATTTATCTTATTTTAAAAGGTGAAACTGTATCCTAAACAGAGGATTTAAAGCCAGTGGGCTTGAGATTTTTGGCATGTTTATGATCATCCTGGTAATATGCCTTTAATTAAGTTCTTGTTGGAATTTTAAAAATCTTCCTTATTGCGGAGGCCAGTCAGTAGTACGGCGGTAATATATGCAGTCCCATGTAGAAAGGCTCCAGTCTCTCATCTGAAGACCTCCCTGAATACCCCACAGACATGCTTGCCCTGATCCAGGGCTGGCTAGGGGTGGGTCACAGTTTCGAAGCCCTGTTAGGGATGTTGCTTCTCTCTTTCACTCTTTCTCTCTGTCTGTCTGTTTTTCTTTTCCTCTCTCACTCATGGAGGAAATTAATAAACATTAGAAATACTGGGTTGTCAGGAAAGTCATGACACATTTTTGCATAGAAAAATACACCATGACGTTCCCAACGCCCTAATACATATGGTTGGTTCTCTTTTCATCTTCTAATTTACGGGAAATTAGAAGTGCCAGTTCAGCTGCACTTTGAGGAAAATCTTCTGAGTCTAGGATGTTAATTTTAAGCTATAATACATGCCTTCGGAGGTAGTGCCTTTTATGAAAGAACTCACAGTTGTGTCTATTGCGTTTCTCAGACTTGTATCTTGTCAAGTCATTCCAACTTGAAAGAAGAAAAAAGCAAACAAACAAAAAGAACTTTGAGGATTCTGAATATCTTTGGTAGAGTCTTCTGGAGTCAAGTTCATGCGCTGTCACAGTGCAGTCCTTGGTACAGAGGCCAATCTCTTGCATGGCACGACACACAAACGTTGTGGATGTTAGATTATTTTAATTTGCTGATGGTGCATTTGGTATGAGGTTGATTTTTCACAACTGCTGATTCAAATATTGTCACAAAACATTTGAAAATAGACCTCTCTTGTATCACTAAGTAACTTCTTAATAAGTAATATCCACAAATACAAAATCACTAAAGATACATTTTTAGCGTTTTCTAGTATGGTTACATAAAGGTTCTTTGATTTAAATTTATGAACCCCAAGTTGGAGTTAAACAGATTTTGCGTGACCACTTCATCTATGAAAAAAGTTCAAGATTTGCATTTGAAGCTCTCCTCCATTAAATTCAAAGCAGCATTTCCAGTTAATGCCCAGTATCATCTCAGTGTCAATAGTCTTTAGGCAAACAGATGAATCTGCATTTCTCTCTTCAGTTGTTTGAGATACTGTCCCACATCATTAGTAAGTAAGAACAACCTTTCCTTTGTGAATGCACACAAATGCAAATTTCTGTCTTATGTATTTGGGGAGAAGGATAGAAGGTACTAAGAATAATAGATAAATATTTGCAAAATTCTACATCACTTTTTTTTTTTTTTACAGTCAGTGGCCAAATGTGGGAATTGACCTGTACATGCCCTCAGAAATGGCACAAAATTGTGCTATAATTGAACAAAATTACCACATTGTTTGTGGCTTTGATACTTCTCCAATAAAAAGTTCTTATTTGGATAGTAATTTTTCAGTCACAATAAAAAAAATGTAAGAGCTTTTGAGTATTCACATTAGCTAGCAAAGAAATGTGAATGAGTCTGCATAGTCACATACTCTTACACACACAGTCACACATACAACAGGACCACCTTCCAGGATTTGGTGGAGGAAACACTTTTTCATTGTTAAGTATAACATTTTCAAAGAGATGAATCAACAAATTTAACATAGACATAAGCCCATTTTACACAGACACTAATGATCACATTCTTTGGGGGATAAGTAGGTGTAGATGATGATTAAAGAGCATTCTTTCAATAGCCGTAGATGATTTCTTTTCCATATTTCACAGCTGCATGTCACCAGAGGGGGATCTACCAAGCAGGCAAGAAGGTGCCTGAAATCAGAGGAAAAACCACACAGGAATAACAAGGTCTGGTCCCCAACAGCTGAGATCAGATCCCAGGTAGACATTACATGGCAATCACATCATCACAATAATTATACCCAAGAAAGCAGTTTATAAAACAAGCACCAAACAACTGGGTATAATTTTCATTATAATCCATGAACTTCAGCATCAATAATAAATCTTAATCACCAAAAAATTTCAGACATTAGGGTTCCCAATGATAGGATAACCCAAGTTATCCTTTAAGTTTTTCTTGTTCATTACATGGGCACATCGGCACTTCAAAAAATAAATCAGGAAATAATATGGCTTCAAGTGGACAAATAAATATGAAATTCTAGGGAGTCTTTGTATTATCTATTGCTTTCCTCTTGATTTGGTTCCATGGATAATTTCTCTCCAAGTTTTCTAATAAGTTCTGCTAGGTCCTCTGTATTGTGAGATTTTTCTTCAAGGAGTTCATAGCGGAGACTTGAGATGTCCTGCTTAATTTCCTTCAGCTCCCCTTTTAAAGGCAAGGGTGATAAGAAGTCAATGGTAAATAAATAATGCAGTGAGTCTGGGATAGGATGAAATCAGTCCTAATTTCTCACACACCTGTATTCTTTAAACCTTTCAAAGGAAATAACTTTCTAATGGAGCAATTTTCTAATTTGTCAGTTATGTATTTTGGTGAATAAAGACATTATTACCAAGTGATAGCAAAAGTCTTCCTAAAGTCAATTAAAGGGAAACGGTAGCAACCCCTCACCTTCGATGGCCACTTTCTCCTCCCTCTAACTCTTGCATAAATACAATAACTTTTTATCTAGCAGTGACATCTGTCCCCAGCTGTGGAGAAATAGCCTGCTCCCCACTGTTTAGAGAAAAAGATGGTTGGTGAGAGAGACCCTATTCTACTTTGTTTTTGTTCTTGTTTTTGCTATAGAGTACATGCTGCTGAAGAAAGACAGTGAGAGGAAAAGTGATAAATCACCTCCCGGGGAATATGCCATGCCACAGTCCCTTCTCATTCACTCTTCTCCTGGCATTTTAGGCATGCATGCATATGTGCCCAGCATGATTTTCAAGCATCTAGGTCCAGGACTCTAACCGCAGTTGGCCATGTAGGAGTCCAGCACTTTAACCACTATACCACCTGCTGCCCTCTGCCCCACACCTCTCTCCCTGTTCTACTCTTCTTGAAGCTCAGACTTCCCATCCCATCCCTCCAGCTCACTGTTTGCTCTGCATCATGCCCTGTGGCCTGGCTCATGCTCAGAGCTAGCTTGTCCCTGTGTTCAACTCACCTTCATTTACTTCGTCACTCTCCTTATCTATCTGAGCTTTCAGTACATATCTTTTAATGAGCCTCTTCATTATTTTCTACACAGAGAAAGGAAAATCCATTTCAGTTATATATTCGTGATAAATCTCTCTTTTGGGATAAATGATTGAGTATCCCTCCCTCTGGTAAGCACTTGAGAAGTGATGGTGATTTAACTGGCAGGGGTTGTATGATATCTCCAAATCTGGTTTGTCTTAGAAAGGAATTTTCAAATTACCTGGGCTAATGGCTCAAAAGTTAACAGTTGAGGAAAAGAGTAAGTTTAGAACAGACATCTAATTCTTTATGTCCATTGCTTGTATGTTATTTGAAAAGTATTAAAGCACAGCCTTTCAGTTGACAGGTTAAAATTTCGCAGCATGGCATATGGAAATAGGGAATTAACCAGATGTCCCCACTTCCCATGACCTCACTAAGAATGTGGCCAGTTTTTATGTTATATTTGCTTTTAGTTCAGAAATGGGGACTCAGCCCAATGCCCACTTGTTTATGTCTCCACTTCCCACCACCTCACTAAATAAGAGTGTAGCCAGTTTTGATGTTATACTTGCTTTGAGATTAGAAATGGCTAGTTTCAATGAAATAGATTTTCTCCAGTACCTGAGCTTCTGTCATGTGGATGTTACTTTTACTATATATTTTTTATGAAAATTATGAGATTTGCATGAAAATCAGGAGATATACATCTGTGGAAAGTCTTGGATAGAAATATAACTAAACCAAATCTTACTACTTAAGCCCCAAATTAAAGAGTAGACAATAAAAATATTCAAGAGCTTATTCTAAAGAAATGCTTTGGTACATAGATGAGTATGTTCATAGTAGTATTTCTTATAATAGCAGGGAATAAAAGCCTTAAATGTCTATCAATAAGGGATTATTTTAATAAATTACCACATATTTATACAGAAGAGTATTCTACATTCAATAATATTAGTGGGGTTATCTATTTCTTAGAGTGAAAAACAGGTTATAAAACAATTACTCATTATTTAAGGGCTATTATATAAATATGTACATACATATGTACATACATACATATGTAAGGTTATATACACACATACATATGTAAGGTTATATACACACATACAAATGTCATCTGGTAGAATATTCACTAAAAGTAAGCAATCATTATTTCTTGGCAGTGGGATTTGAGATGACTTTTTGTAAAGTTAGCCCCATTACAACAGACATGTAGATTCTGTACTTCATGTTTCAAGACTTTATTGTTTATATACCCAGCCCTTAGAAAGTAGCTGGTACATGGTAGTTACTCAATAAATAATTGTTGACTAAATGTATTTTTTTGATATTGAGAAAAATATCCTAATATTTTCATTTTGCATATCATATAGTTTCCAAATCTAAATATTATAAAACAACTAGGCTTATTTAAAAATTCATGCTTACCTGATATTGTCTTGGAGGATTTGTGAAACTGTTTAAATGGAAATCTTCTGAGCTCCGTATACTTGATTGTTTATTGTGCCCAAGCTACAGTTTGAAAAGAATTATAAAGTGATTCTTATTTAGTCCATACCTGAACTAATTAATAGTCTCATATTCAGTTTCCCACAGGGTGCACATGCTCCCTAAAGTGAGATAGAGAGAGAAAGTGAGGAACACCTCCCATGGGAAAATGATCATGTGACAATCCTTTTTCCATCTCTTTCTCTTTTCAGAATCTGGTACACATACACATACTTGGTATGTTTCTAAAGCCACCAAGTTTCAAACTGCACAGCTGGACATGTGGGATCTAGCTGCTTTAACCACTATGTTACCGGCTGGCCCAAAGCATGCCATTTTAACTTAACCTGTTTAATAGTCTGTCTTCCAAGACAAACTAGTGGCACTTCGCTGTGTTCAGCCTTTCAATGGCTATTGGAGGTGCTTAAACTTTAAGGCTCTCAATCGTGTTGTCATGAAAGTCATGATTTAACCTTCCCACAGATACATCTATGGTAAAGGAAGAGGCAAACAAGTTGAGAAAATTATGATGGAGATCTCGGAAATCCTGATGAGGAATCACAGGCCAACCTGATTAACTACAGCATCCATACCTGGAGTAAGCTCTGTTGGGGATACTGAAGAAACACCAGGGTAAGATCTGGGGGGAGGGGACAGAATTCAAGTGCCAAGAAAGCACTAAACTTACTCTATGTGAATTTTAGGGTCTACTTAGCATCTCATTCTGTCAGCATTTCTCAAGTAATATAATGTATAACAACAAAAAATTAGAGCAATGTGTAATAAAAGTGATAACATGCTAAGAAGATAATTAAAAATCTAATGTACTTGGGGTCAGCAGGTGGTGTGGTGGTTAAAGGCACTGGACTCCCACATGGTCAACTACAGTTTGAGTCCTGGACCTGCTTTCTCATCTTAAAGTCACATAATGCTTGTAGGAAGTGAGAGATTCCCAGAGATGTCGATCCCTGTAAGACCATGGAGGAGAAAGGATTGCAACGTGGCTCCCAGGGAGTAATTTCTCACTTTCCTTCTCACTGTCTCTCTCTCTGGCAAGTGCACATACCCTATTACAAAACCTTAAAAAAAATTATACAGTCCACCAAATTGACTAAAGAGAGACAGCTTGAGTTCTCAAAAAGAGCATTTGACAGGAATCTGAAGACTAACTGCAATCTATCAATATGATAGCTCTGCCACAAGCTGTCTATGGAACACTAGGCAAGATGCATAAATTCTATAAGCTCTTCTGGCACTGAGGGAGTGGTCTAGTTGAACTTTTGTCCATCAAACCCTATTAATTTATGAATTTTATGAATTTGTGAAATGTATAAAAACTTCAACATAGCATTTTTAATAATGTAACAGGAACCCTGGCTTTTAGACAGTGATTTATGCCTTAGGGACATCGTTAAACATGAGGACCAGGTTCAAGCTCACATTCATCCTGCCTCTTCCAGTTATAATAAAGCATGGTGATGAAGGGTAGGTTCATAATCAGGGAAGAAAAGTCCAGGCAGAGGGAATATTTGTAGATCATGCCTTTGATTTATATACTCTCTGTTTATAAATTTACAACCTCATGACTGCAACTCATTAACTGGCGTTTCCTTTCATTAAAGGCCATGAGAACATCTACAAGGTGTTTAAAAAAAAAGGACAGTGAAAAAATATGCTTCCTTGGGAATTCTTTTTTTTTTTTCTTTTTTTTTGTTTGGAGAGATTTTTGCTATAGGGCATATGTGCTTGCCAGAAAGACAGAGAGACAGAGAGATAGAAAGCAAGAAATCACCCCCGGGGGGGCATGGCCACGCCGCAATCCCTTCTCCTCCATTCTCCTCTCTCTATCTTGGGCACACATGCACATACACCCGGCGTGAGTTTAAGCCACCGGGTCCAGGACTCAAACCACGGTCAACTACATGGGGGTTCAGAGACATAGCCATTATGCTAACTGCAGGCCCCCACTTGGGAATTTTTTGCAAGGCAAATTTTTGGTTCTTACTACTTGATGTGCCAGTCATCCCCAGTTAAGTCAGTTTTACAATACACACCATGCCTATGAATGCAACTCTTTGGAAAAAACAAAAACTTGATGGGGGCTGGCAGGTGGTGTGGTAGTTAAGGGCACTGAACTCCACATGGTTGACCATGGTTTGAGTCCTGGACCTGGCAGCTTGCTTTCTAACTCTCCCTCTCTCTCTTTTCCTCTCTGTCTCTCGTTCTGTCCCTCTCTGGTCAAATTAAAATAAATAAATAAAGTTAACTAATTCTTTTTTTAAAAAAATGATGTCTTACTGTCGCACAGGCCTTCTTCCATTTCCTATTTTTAAAAAAACTTATTTTTATTTTATTTATTATTATTTTTAATTTTCTATAGGGTATGTGCATGAGAGAGAGTGTGCAAATTCTAGGTATGGGACTCAAACTGCGGTCAACCATGTGGGAGTCCAGTGCCTTAACCACCATGCCACCTGCTGGCGTTTGCTCTTTTCTAATTGATGGTTTCTGAGTTCGCCATTCCCAGTTTCTAACATAATGTTTTCTTGGCTGATGGCCCGACTTTCTCTAACTCCTCCTTTGGGTTTTAGCTTATAGTATAAGCTCTTCAGAGAGGATTTCCTTGCTCACCCCAAAAACATTACAAGCTAGGCATTTTGAGCATACTAGGCATTTTGTTTCCTTCATAACACCTATCAAGACTGGCAATTATTTTATTCACTGGTTGGTTATGTATTTCTTGCCTACATCCTCCTAGACTCTCTAGGAGCGACTTTATTTAGTTTATCCCAGTGTTTCTAATACCCATACAGGCATGTAGCAAGTGCCCAAAAATTGTTGATTGGTAAAATGAATGGAGGAAGAAGTGTTCTTTGGTTAGTGGTGAACTTCACATGGTTTCTGGACACCGTGGCTACAGAAAATGTATATAGTCTGGGTTCACGAACTGGTTGGTTGCTGCTGAGCTCATGGCTAAATGCTACTCCTGAAATATGGAAGCTAGTTTTGAGGCATAGAATTGCACAGAAGAGGTAACAATGGCAAGAAAGGCAGAAAATATTATCCTTGCCATTTGAATATATATGTGAGTATGGAATTTTCCAGAGTGTAGCTCTGAGGTATTAATGAGCGAAGCTGTGGTGTGCTCATTCAGTTTGACAGCACTTAGCTCTCCCCTGCACCCACTCAGAGGGGTAGAATCTAGGATTTCTCTATTGTGACCCTATTGAAATTTGAGGATGGATAATTCTTCAGTGTCATGGGTATCCTGTGCATTGTAGAATGTTTAACAGCATTCTTGTGCTGTAATCACCAGATGCCAAAATGGCCCCTTCCCTGAGTGACAACCAGAAATATCTCCAGATAATTCCAAATGCACCTTGAGTGTAGGAGTGGGAGGCAAAATCACTCCAAGTTGGAGACAAATGTCAGAGTGAAATACTATATGACTATATATA